GGTGTCACTTTAAAAAGAAGTCAGGAGAGATGGGGGCATGAGAGAAAGGGGACATCTGTAAGCCCAGGGGACTGACACCCAAATGTCAGGCTCCCAGACTTTGGGAGGGCAGGCAAATGTGTGTCTGCTATGCAGGCTGTTCGTCTAAGGTTCATTATGCAGGATTAGAGTTCTAAGAAGCCACCTTGCACAAATGTCAACTGGGCACCAGATCTACTGAAATGGTGCTGGCTTGCAACCTTACCTCCTAGCCAGGGCCTCTTCCAAGACTCTGCCTCCATCTCCACCTGATCCAAGTAGAATTCACTCCTTAAGAGCAAAACACCCCCTTGGCAGCCAAGGGCTCAGCCATCAGGTCTGGGTGTGTTTGTAACTCCGGGTTGAGTAAGTAGTGAGTGAGGGATGAATAAAGGCATGTAGCTGGACTGCAGCTGGACAGAGACTCTCATGTACTGTATGGAAGCATCATCTGTCAATAAAAAGCTGACGGCCTATTAGCTGGGGCAGGAAATAGAGGGAGGGAGTTCCTGTAGGGATAGAGGAACTCTGAAATAGAGTCAAGCCTCAGAAGAGATTTGCCCTGAACTCTGAGGAGAGAGATCCGTGAAACTAAGAGGTAACCTGCCATGTGGCATTCACAGAATAGAATCAACAGTTAATTAAGTTACACCCTAGTCAGGGGGAACAAGCCCACACTTGTGGCCTATGCATTTATTCATAAATAATAAGTATCAGAGTCCTTATTTTAGGAACTGGGGCATGGGTGGAAAAGCCCAAGGTTACATGCAACAAGTACTACTTGCATTTAACCCTCTGTGATGGTTTGTATATGCTTGGCCCGGGAAATAGCACTATTAGGAGGTGTAGCCTTGTTGGAACAGGTGTGTCACTGTGGGTGTGGGCTTAAGACCTTTACCCTAGCTGCCTGGAAGTCTGTCTTCCACTAGCAGCTTCAGATGAAGATGTAGAACTCTCAGCTCTGCCTGCAACATGCCTGCCTGGATGCTGCCATGTTCCCGCCTTGAGAATAATGAACTGACCCTCTGAACCTTTAAGCCAGTCCCAATTAAATGTTGTCATTTATAAGAGTTGCCTTGGTCATGGTGTCTCTTCACAGCAGTGAAACCCTAAGACACCCGCCCAACTCAAGAGGAGTGTCAGAGTTATAGGAAGGCCTGCTTTGTCTCTGGGCCCACCTTACCCCACTTCTACCTCTCACTCCTTCCCACCCCACCATGTTCCTTACTGCTTCCCGCCACCCTACCCCCCACCCCAATCATCTGGATCTTGTCTTTACCAGCCACTAGTTCCTTTAGCTGGTCATGAATGTCTCAGGGGGACCTGGCACATGAGTAAGCTACACTTCATATGTCTATAATAACAGGGTCTGAATACACACTGTAGGATGTCTCCCCAGCCTTAGCCAGCTTTCTGAGGATGCTGGCTACCACCAGCCACAGTCAGCTGGGACTCAAGTTAATAAGAACTCCGCAGCCGGGCGGTGGTGGCGCACGCCTTTAATCCCAGCACTTGGGAGGCAGAGGCAGGTGGATTTCTGAGTTCGAGGCCAGCCTGGTCTACAGAGTGAGTTCCAGGACAGCCAGGGCTACACAGAGAAACCCTGTCTCAAAAAACCAAAAAAAAAAAAAAAAAAAAAAAAGAACTCCGCAGGTTCCTGAGAGCTGTGCCCAGCAGTGGCTCCCTCGGCTGCCTGTGAAGGTTGGACATTCCTGTAGGGTCCTTGGGGACTCTGAACCCAAGGTTTGCTGTAGAGTCTGGCGGACTTGAAGAGGCAGAGATTATTAGTGAGAAAGCACCTGTGAGGAAGGGATCCAGATGATCAAAACTTGGGCACCTTCAAGAGCAGAGAGTTTGGGAGCACTCTGGAGGGAGGAGATGCAAGTAGGTGTTTGCTCCAAGCCCCTCATTTCCCATCATTCAAAAGGGAGGATGTTAGGGCTGGTTGGCAGCATAGACCTATAATTCCAGCTACTCCAGAAGCAAAAGAATGGGGGAGTTCAAGGCCTGCCTGGCAGCTCATTGAAACCCTGTCCCCGGAAGGAGAAAGGACCCCATGCTTCACATGAATGAGACTCTGAGTTCTAACCCAAACACTGCATAATAAAATAAAATATAAAATAAAATGGCAGATGCCACTGCAGGGAAGAAGGCCATGAGCCCAGGCAGCCCAAAGCTTTGATTCTGGCTCTGTCATCTGCTTGCCAGCCTTTCTGTGCTTCTTACTTCTTGCAGATTGTAACAGAACAGCACCTTCCTGTTCTGTTCATGCCTACCACACACCAGGCTTTGTCTCCTTTAGATCCCAGCACAGAGGGGAGAGCCTGTTCTTACTTTCAGCCTACAGGTGAGGACTCTCCCTGCATGAGACCAGTGTATGTTGCTTTGGATGACCCAGAGAGGCTAGGTTCAGGGAGCAATTGATAACAGCAGGGACACTCTGTCCTGGAGCCTAAGAAGGGATACTGGTTTGTGGGTCCACAAGGGAGCAGCTGTCCAGCTTTTCAGCCCCGGTGGCTGCTATGGCAGAGGCTAGAAGGAAGCAGAGAATAACCCCAGGCTTTATCCTTTGCAGAACACTGAACTTAGTGCAAACAGGAAGTCACCAGCCTACCTTCTCCCTGAACCTGACACCCCACCCCCGAGCTCAGAGGTAGACGCCCTCTAGTGGGTAGAGCCTCTTTGCTGCACTACACCTCGGGAATCCAAGGTGTTCAAGCACGGTGAAGGTGAAACAACGCTTTTCTCTCACTTGGGATATCTTAGGAGTCACCAGTGGGTACTGGGAAAAGGACTCAGCTCCAGGGGCATGCTGTCCTCTCCCCTATGATGAAGCACAGGCTGGCTCTGATGAAGCACAGGCTGGCTCTGATGAAGGAACTCCTCCTATGTTACTCCAGATGTAGGGACTTCATTAGTAAATGTTCCTATGTCAGGAACAATACCACCTGCTACCTCCTTGCATCTTTTTATTTAGGTGCTAGAGGCAGAAATGAGGGTTTGGTTTTTTTCTACCTGGAAACACCTTCAGGGACTCCAAATGTACTTGGTGACTAGGACATACTTTCATAGGAGGTTTTTTTTTTTTAATCTACACAGTAATACCTAAAGTATCTAATGAGCCTATAACCCCAGCATTAAAGATGCTGAAGCAGGGTTGCCATAAGTTCAAGACCAGCCTGGTCTATAAAGCAATACTGTCTCAAATCAAAAGCTGTGTCTTGACAGGTCTTGCTCCTGCCCTGCACCTATGTAGGTTTCCCTCTTACTAGCTTGTATTGTCTTCTCTCTTTTCTTTTACATTGTGTTTTTATATGCTGTGTATGTTGGAGGAGGGAGATGTACCCCCATCACATGCTGCATGTAGTGTGGGTTCTCCCCTCCCCGCCCCTACACCCCTTATGTGAGCTCCAGGGACCAAAACTCAAGATATCAAGCTTTCTGGTACTGCTTACTGTGCCCAGGGCATTAGGCACACTAGATACACTCTCCCACCTAGCCACTTCCCTAGCCCCCACCATACCCACTGATATTCTGTAGGCCTTCCTGGTGACAGGAAAGCACAGCAGAGGCTGCAGAACCAGGCCCTTGGGCACCTGTAATTCTCCAGTGTCTCTGGGTGTTGCTTAGCAACAGTCATGTAGGACTGCATGGGATGGAAAGAGTGTGCCTGTTTTGCACATCACAAAAGTAACAGTGGGGGAAAACTGTCATATCTTTCTGTTCTCTCCCTCGATACTGGGGACAGAAGGCGGGGAAGAGTCACATGCTAGGTAAATGTTCTGTCACCAAGCTACACCTCCAGCTCCAAAGTGTTCATTCAGTCTTTCAACTATCAAAACATGCCTGCTAAAGTAGAATAAAGCAAGTGAGAAGACAAGTGGACCTCAGCCCTCCCTCCCAGGGAGGGGCAGCCAGGTAGAACTGCTTGTCAATTCAGAAGCAAAACAGAGGCATAACTAGGTAAACATTTTTCTGGGGCCCTCAGAAAAGCTCACTGTGTTTAGTAGGGGTTGAAGACTGCTCCATGTCGGCTGGAGAGCCCTGTGAGGACAGGCCATGGGCAGTCTGTGCGGGCAGCGCTCTGGTCTTGGTTTCTGACAAGAGTGTAAAGATGGACGGTCTCACCAGGCCTTGTCATCTTATCAAGTGAGGACAAGGACATCCTTCCACCTGGCAACAAGGAAGGCTGCTATCGTTGGGTCTTTGGTGGCAGTCTAACCCCAGGATGCTTAGTCACTCCAGCTCTCAGGGCCTGGCTGGCTCCTTACCCCTCACCCTTCCTTCCCACCCTTGTACAGTGCTGCCTCACAGGAAGGCAGAGAACATGACCACAGTGGTTTGAGTGAGATTTCTCCCTACAACTTGAGAATTTGGTACTTGGTCCCCAGTTGGTGGCTGTGTGGGAAAGATTGGGAGGTGTGGCCTTGCTGGAGGAAGCTGGCACCAGGGGTGGGTGGGCTTTGAGGCTCAGGGTTAGCCCTCTCTGCTTCCTGAGCTCTCAGCTGTTCCTGCTACTCTGCCAGCGTGGACTTAAACCCTCGGAAACGCAAGGCAAACTGTTCCTTCTCAGAGTTGCCTTGGTCATGATATCTTATCACAGCAATAGAAAAGTAACTCCTGACAGTGACTTACAGGTAGAGAAAAAGCCCGTGGTGGTGGTGGTGGTGGTGGTGGAGGAGGAGGGGAGGGGACGGAGCACACCTCTGATCCCAGCACTTGGGAGGCAAAGGCAGTCAGATCGATGTGAGTTCAAGGTTCAAGGCCAGCCTGGTCTACAGAGTGAGTTCTACACAGAAAATCCCTGTCAAGAAGAAGACGAAGACGAAGACAGAAGAAGACAGGAAGGAAGGAAGGAAGGAAGGAAGGAAGGAAGGAAGGAAGGAAGGAAGGAAGGAAGGAAGGAAGAAAAAGTAAACAGGCAGAGGCAAGAGGATTGACACAAGTCAAGGTCAGCCTGGGCTACACAGTGAGACTAGAACTCAAAAATAAATCAGACCTTTATTAAAGCAGCCCTGAGCACCACCATCTAACAGGCACCTGTACAGCAGAGTTAAGCTGGGGTCATGGGTCCCCACACTTCCACCAAGCCACCTGCTTCTTTTGCACATTTTTAATTCAGAGGATTCCTGTTTCCTCTCACCTCACCTAGAGGTCAAACTGAACCACCCTTGGATCTAACTAAATTTCTCCACAGACTTCTGCTGAGGACGATGCTAACTCGGAGGCCTCCACCTCTCTGAGAGGCATGCTGGGCTTTCAGGCTTCTGGCATCAGCAGCCTCCTCAGAGCACCTTCTGCCACGGGACAAGAGGACTCTGTGGCACCAGGTGAACAGATCTAAACAACTTCACCTCGAAATCTAAGCCTGTCCCTCCCTGTACTACAGGAGACAGGGACACCCCAGAGTCCTCCTCAGTCTTTCTTGCTTCCCTGGGTCGGGCTTCTTGTAAGGAGTTTCCCTGAGCTGGGCAGGGCCATCGTGGACACCGTGGGTGACTCCAGCTTCACTCTGTCCAGGAGAGTCTTCTTAAGGGCGGCAGGGGACACCTTTTCCTGGTCAGCCATGGACTGCAGCTCTCTGTAAACAAAGCCCCACCAGAAAGATGATAAACCTTGGAGCCAGAGCTTTGAGCATTCCCCAGATCTACAGCCCCAGACTCTCAACCCAATGCCACCAAGACTCAGAATCCCAACCCAGAGAAGCTCTAAGCTTTTTAAGAGTCCTATTTAACTAACATGGGGTATCACAGTCATGTCCTGTGATCCAAGCTAGGTACACTGCTCCAATGGTATCTGTGACCACACAAGAAACAAACTACGGGAAGTGACAGGGTTTGAGGCCAGTCTGGAGCTGAATCCCATCTCCATCACTTAACTGTTTGATCTTGAATGTCCCCATCTATAAATCAAAGTTAATCATAGCGCTCAGAAGCGCATCAAGAACTAAGTACAGGAAGACTAGCAAACCCTTGGCTAAAGAAAGCTTAAAACCGTGGGTACCAACAGACCACAGACTGTGACACCGCTCATGAAATCTTCAGGAGCAACACCAGCCCACTCCAGGGTAGGCTGGAAATGGAAGAACTCGGGCTGGAGAGAGCAGGTCACACGCACCTTGTTCGAATACAGGAGGCCTCAACTGCATTGATGAGTAGAGAGCGGAAGCCCCCACTCTCCAGGAAGTGCAGGGCATGGATAGTGGCTCCCCCGGGGGAGCAGACGTTGTCCTTGAGCTGGCCTGGATGGTCCTCTGAGTCCAGCAGCATCTTAGCTGCTCCCTGACGCACAAAGAAGCATTAGACTCAGCCTATGCCCAGCTCAGTAGCCTGTCCCCCAAACAAAACCCTAAAGCCAAACATGCAAGACACTAACCAGCAATGCCTGAGCCCCCAGGCGGACTGCCAGGCGCCTCGGCACACCCATCTTCACCCCACCGTCTGCCAGCGCATCCAGGGCCATAAATGCCTGTGGAGATACTCTCTGAACCCAGGAAACAAGCATCCACACACCCACACCCCAGAGGCTGCTTTCTTGGGTGACTGGAACTAATCCTAAAAGTTGGCTCCTTCCCCCAGCCAGCCATGTCCAAGAGATGTGCCAGCTGCCCTCTCTTCTGCCAGCCCCTCCTGCTGCCTAGGACTCATGCAAGCCAGTGGGCAAGTGAGGACCACTCACATAGGCAGGCCCGCTGCCACTGAGTCCCGTGATAGCATCGATGAGGTCTTCCTCCACCTCTGTGCAGAACCCCACACTGCTCATCAGCTGCTCCAGGAGCTTCCCGTCTTCCACCAGAGCATGGGTGCCTGTGGCATACACAGTGGCCCCCTCTCGGACCACCACAGGCGTGTTGGTCATGCAGCGGATCACCTTGGGAGCTGGCTGGAAAGCCATGAGCTTCTAGAGGAGGACAGCAAGCTAACTAAGTGTCCAGGGCACAGCTCCCCCAGGTCTGACCCATCAGCAGCCACGCCCAGGCCACCCCTCCTCTCGCACAATGGGCATGGGGCATCAGCACCTTCTCCACAGAACTGATGGTGACACCGGCTGCACAGGAGACCACGATGTGCCTCTCCTGCACGTCGGCCCCAATCTCATCCAGGATGAAGGGGATGATGTGGGGCTTTACAGCCAGGAACAGGACATCACTGTGCCGCACAGTATCCTTATTGCTTCGGGTCAGATTCACACCCATCCTCTGCAGGAGAAGGTGACCCTGTCCATAGAGCTTGGCAATATGGCTGAGCCATGCCACCACAGAACAACCAACCCTCTCTGCCAATGCTCTATTTTGTGCCTTCAGGGCTCCGTGACTACCCCCAAATGACAGTTTTCCTTTCCTACCACTGGGCAAGTAAGTACGAATGTTACATGGCAAGCTTCTCCACAATGGCCAGAAAAGTGGCTGTTCCCCAAGCCCAGCAATCACTGGTGGAAAGAGCTGAGGAGACAGGTGAGATGTCAGCGCCCAGAGTCTGGGAGCAGAGCTGCAAAGCCCACTCTTAACCTAGCAGCTGCTTACCAGAGTAACAGGCCTCCACAGGCCCCCCTCTAGGGTTCTGAGGTGAGTCTGTGGGACCCTACAGTGTTGGGGACATAAGCCTATACTAGACACAAACGCTGTCCGTCAGCTGCTTCATCTGCTGACCTGTCCCACATTGGTCTGATGTTATAAGACTTGGCACATTAAGCTTTATTGAGAGAAACTAAGTAACTCACCAAGTCCACTCCCAACACTGTCATTTACAACAGCAAAGACTACAGTAAATGAGAAAAAGCCTCGGTAAGCAGAATTTTCCAGACTTAGAAGCCAACACGGACTATGCAGTGAAATTCAAAGCAACGCAGATTAACAAACAAAAAAATCTTATACGCCTAATTTCACCCCAGTGTCTGGATCCGACACTAACTTTGCCTGGGGGCTCCCACCACCCAAGGCTGCCTCAGAGAAGGTGCAGGGCGCATAATGATGACCCCCGCCCCCCCAGGGAAGGGTTAGAGCCAGTCAGACTCAGGGCATCTCAGGTCACGCTTTTCCTGGGCCTCTACCTCTTGCCCACTCCCCTCCATCCCTCCTACCCTGAGCGCAGACACTGTGGGCAGGTCCATTTCCGGGGAACTGGCTATTATCTTGTGAGCCGACAGGACGCCTACAGAGAACAAAGTTTTTCAACAGTGGATCATGGCCCAATCATGCAGCCCATCAATGGAAGCCCACAGCAGCTCTAGGAGTGCCGGCCTTCGACGCTATGCTCCAACCAGATGGATGCAAATCTACCATCCATTCACGTTCACTCACTCACTCACTCACTCATTCGTTCACTCTGGTGAGACGGAAGGCTGACTACGCGCTCACCCGCGGCCGTGAAGCCCCGTGCCAAAGCACAGGCCAGCTGGCCCGCGCCGATGAAACCCACGCTCATGGCCGCAGGGTCCCGGCGAACGCCGACCCGGAGTCTCTGGGAATCCCAGGATCAGTGTCCGCGCGTGAAAAAAGACGGATCCGAATTGCTCGGAACAGTTTTCAAATCGGAATGCACTGGATGAACTGTTAGGCAGGCCCCAAGTATCCCTGAGCATCCACTGCCAAATACCCAAGCCTCCTATTGGCCACGTGTCTCAGACAACCAATCCGAGGCTCGGATCTCGGTGCGGGCCAATCGGCGGCGCCGTCAGGCCGTGCGCCCGCCTTCGGCTCGCGCGGCAGGCGGAACCTGTAGCTCCGCTAGAGCCTGTCTGCGTGGACCTACCTGGGACGCTAGGAACTCCTGATTTGAAGAGTTGGTTAACTCTGGTCTAGGAGTGAGATCTCCAAAACGCCTATTAGAGATGAACCCCACGTGGACACCAGACTGCATGCAGCATGCTCCTTCCGAAGTAGAATTAGGTAGAAAAGACGAATTATTAGATCAAGATTTATTGAATTTTAGTGATTTCCTTAAAGCACAGTTGTACTGCCTGTTTGCCAAGCATGTCTTCTCCTGCTACCCGGAACAGAATGACCTGGAGAAATAGCGGAGACAATGAGAAATGACTGCCACTTTGGTTTCTGTAACGTCTTACTTGTTTGCCCACCCCACCTTGTGGTTTTAGAGTATATAAAGAGACCCAGCATTGAAGCCTTTCAGGCGCTGTCGTAACTTCGGATCACCAGTGACATCTCTCTGCCATTAGTATTGCAGTGTTTATTCCAGAAAGATTCTCGAGACACGTCCAGACTCACCGGAGGGCGTCGGAACAGCTACAGGTCGAGTTTGACTTTTGGAGTGTCTCACTATATAGCCCGGGCTGGTCTCAAACTTGTGACCTTCCTGCCTCATTCTCTTGAGTGGTGGGATTATAGGCGTGTAGAATATAAGTTTCTATAGTATACAAATCATAAGCAATTTCCCAACACCACCGAAACGTTATTTTACACAAGGTTTTAACGTGTGTTTATTCCGTTCGTGGATGTACCCTACCTCAACAGGTACCTAGGGAGCCAGGTTCTGGGGATACTGTGGTGAACGATTTTTTTTTTTTTTTTTTTTTTTTTTTTTTTTTTTTTTTGCGCCAGAGTCTTGCTTTGCTTCCCAGGCTGGGCTTAAGTTACTGAACTCAATGGACCTTCCTACCAGTCTTCCAAGAAGCGGAAACGGCTTGGATACTACTCTGCCTCCCTGTAGTCTGCTACAGTGAGGTAGATGAATGACTACCATCCCACCCAGCCATTTGAGACACACCCTCCAGGAGGGCCCTACCCTGACTCTGCTGTTCTGCCTCCCTCCTGTGTTCTCCGCCTCCAGCAGCATTTTTATCAGGGCCTCAGGACCTTCCTCGGTCTTATCCTTAAGTAACAGGTCCACCCCTTCTGAGAACCAGGACGATCCAGGCAGCGGGACAGAAGACTGAGGTGCCCCAGCAAGGCAGATGGCCAGTCTCTAGCGGCCAGTCCTCCCTCACCTTCGTTCATTACTCAGGAATCCATGTCCACTACCCAGCAATTAGATTCAGTAGAAAGCTGCCCTTTTTTTGTTTTCTTTTTCAGTATTTTAGATAGAAGCCTGGGCTTTTACACACCAGGTGTGGACTCACCATTGACCTGAATGCACGTCAGTACTGTCTTCAGTCACACCCACCTAAGGAGAACCAATATGACGGTTTTTGGAGAATAGCTCTGTATTTACTTTTCCCACAGAATGAGGACATCTTTTTTGTTTGTTTGTTTGTTTGTTTTCGAGACAGGGTTTCTCTGTGTAGCCCTGGCTGTCCTGGAACTCACTCTGTAGACCAGGCTAGCCTCGAACTCTCGAACTCAGAAATCCACCTGACTCTGCCTCCCAAGTGCTGGGATTAAAGGCATGCACCACCACTGCCCGGCTATAATGAGGACATCTTAAGATAGATTTTAATCTTGATGTTTTTGTTAGAAGAGTTCAGCGAGATAAGCCAGGATCGGTTGTGCAGATCTTGTAAAGGAGGCAGAGGCAGGAAGTTTGAGAGTTCCAGGTCAGTCTGGGATATCTGATAGAAGAAACCCTGCCTTGAAAAAATGAATTAAAATTCAGTTTATTGTTGGAAGGCTGGGAATATAGCTCAGTCGGTAGCATGCATGAAGGACGGGCTCCTTCCCCTCCCCTGCATAACCTGTGAGATGGTACAATTCCAGCATTTGAGAGGCTAGTTATAAGGGTCAAAAGTTCAAGGTCACCCTTGGTTGTACAGCCCGCCTTGGGACCCTGTCTTAAACAAAAAAAGATCAGACAACACTAATTCATACTTGGAATAGACTAAAAAAAAAACAATAATAGACAAAACTGATGAAATTTTTTAAAAATTTTATTTATTTTTATTCTTTAATCGTTTTTTACAGTCCAGACTTCACCCCTCCAGGTCTGCGCCACCCGCACCCCAACCACTCCCCATCTCA